CTGATGTAATCAAATCATATGTGAGGTACATGATGTAGGACTTGTCCGAAAGTAGTAACAAGAGTAATTATAAGAGTCATGCAAAGTACTAGTCATGCGTTAACTGTAAAGCAGGGATACTACACCCTCCCTTCCTACACTAAATCACGCCCTCGTGATTTGACAGAGAGTTCGATGATGTATGATGAACAGTACTCACTAGATGGCACCGTCAGTAGGTGGACTGGACAACTAACTTGCATTCACGGACATGTATTCTTGAATCTTGAACAGAGTGCTTGATATTCGGACGAAAGGGTGACAACTGACACTAGTAGTAGTAGTAGTAGTAGCTCGAGCTCAGCAGCAGATCATAGGAGGCGGTGTGAACGTCATAGTAGATAGCGTATTACTTGTAGAGCGTCAACCGGAATATGGCAAATAATATTGGAAATGATAACGTTTTAGAGTAGACAGAAGAACTGAACTGATAACAAATCAAAGAATGGAAGCACACCAGGTTCTCACCATCTCACGGGGTCAAAAAGGGAATATTGTCCTCCAAACAGGACCGAAAAAAAACTACAGCTCACTTGCTGCACAACCCTGGCACAACCTGCCAGCCAAATCGCAGTTCCAAGCCGAACTGAGTACACAAGGGCATTCTCACACACATTGTCCCAGGTTAGCTAGGTAGACCGTGGCTCACCATGATCGGACGCCTACCGGACTAAACTGGATTCACTCACTCGCATAAAGGAAGACTGAAGAGAACAGAAGGACTGAAGGAAGACAGGAAAGAGAATGCCATACCCGGAATTAGCTTACGTTTGACATGGAGCTTAATCGGTAGAGATGTTGTCCGTCATCATTTCGGGCTAGGGGGAGACGTGGCGGGCGAAGGAGTAGCGGCGACTGACGCATCAGGTTGGGCCATGCTGGTACCGGTTACACCAATAAAACAATTTACCGCTGCCATCAATTCTGTAGCGCCGCTGCCATCATTGCAGTACAGATACTAGATGGGTTCGAATCTAGCAATTATAAAATTGAACCACCGCTGCCATCAATGTAACGTATCCCACCGCTGGCACCAATGTAACGTTCGTCACCGCTGCCACCAATGTAACGTGCGTGATCTAAGGCAATCCCACCGCTGCCACCAATGTAACGTGCGTCGGCGAGGCTAGGAGGCTACTACCCACAGTCAGTCAACTACAGTAACGTATCAGAACTTACTCCGGCACGGCCTGGAGGTTATCTTATATCAAAGTGAAAGTGAACTTGCTCTCTCTCTGATCTCTGCTCTCCGCTCTAATCTAATCTGAGCTAATCTCATGGTGGCAGAAAAGACAGCAGCTTTTATAGGCAAGCAAAGTATGTATAGCAAAGCAGGCGGCGGTAGGAAAGTAAGGTTAGTAAGCCATTGCAGTGATTACGAAATCATCCTTCTACAAGTTCTAGAATAGTGGAGAAGGCAAACCTAGATCATCATTGCTATACAGGTAGATGAAGTGAGCATTACGTAACATTAACATAATGACTAAGCGAGGTATTCTAGAAGATGAGATATCTATATTATGCAATTTAGTCAGCAACATTACTCATCGGGCATATGACGTGGAAAGTCTGGAATAGTCCGGAACAACATGACATACATGTACATGTACATGTACACGAGTCATGACTGTACCAACTAGTAACTAAAAGGAAGTGATACTAGAAGTGATGACAGCAGCATGCATGGAAGATCTATGATCTTCTAGAAGTGCGGTACTCCTGATGTAATCAAATCATATGTGAGGTACATGATGTAGGACTTGTCCGAAAGTAGTAACAAGAGTAATTATAAGAGTCATGCAAAGTACTAGTCATGCGTTAACTGTAAAGCAGGGATACTACATATGTGTGTGTGGGGGGGGGGGGGTGCGTGCATGTGTGTGTACGTGTACATGTGTGCGTGTTTGTGTGTGTGGGGGGGGGGGGGGCGTGTACGTTCATCTCCCATGTTGGGGCTTGTATGCACATCCATGAGGATGTATATGAGCGACTCATATCGACTCCACATGTATCACAGGAGGTGAAACCGCCTGTTTGTGGTGCGACGTTAAACATACATCTACAATAACAACTTAATAATTATTATGATCAGCCACCACCACTACTATACAAAAGTCGTTGACACTGCAAACTCCATTCAAAACTCTGCACTCACATCACCATCACCACAGCGAGGACAACTCCGGTATATAGATTGATATTGACAATGACCCTCCAGACAGCTGTTTCGCTCCTCCTGAGCTCTTCAATGGATGCATATGATGTTGCATGAAAGAATAATAAGAATAGACTGTTCTCGCTCCACATATACTGGCATACACAGAGACATAGACAGCAACAGCGACAACACACAAAGTGAAGGGTAGTTGGCCGCAGCCAGATGTGACTTTCGGCCGGCGAAACTAGAGGCCCATGGGCCTTTCACTCCAGTAAGGGCTGTGCTGCGTCCGATGCTGGTAAATTTTGATCCAGCATTTGCTGTTGAGGAACTATCCCGCTTGTCTCAAACCTCCACGGAACCTCCCGAATGCGACCGTCCGGGAATACGTTTTTTTAGAACATGGAGGCTCCACTGCAGCCAATTCATATTATGATGAGTCACCGCCACTACACAAAGGTCGTTGACGCTGCAAACTCCGTTCAAAACTCTGCACTCACATCACCATAACCACAGCGAGGACAATTCCGGTATATAATGGAGTTTGCAGCTGGAGTTTGCAACGTAAGCGACCTTTCAGTAGTGGTGGTCACTAATCATAACATGAATTGGTGTTCCCAAAACGTACAACAACAACAACAACAACACCCTTCTTGCTCACTCCATAAAATACCAATATGCCCCACAACACATACGCTTGCTCAACACCCCCGCTCAAGTTAACAGCCCAGTACAGCCTTCGACACGCACGCACTTGGCACCTCCCACCCTCCAGAACCGATCGCTGTAAAGACTCCCCACTGTACAAGTCCCTAGAATACTACAATGCCCTCCCTGCTAGCATTCATGACGTCTCCTCCCGACCTGCTTTCAAACAAGAAATCTGCTCACTGCTGATTGACTCAATCTGCTCCTGCAGCGCTCACCCTCTCCCATACTTGTAAAGTTCAAAGTGATGTAAATCACTTTCCAACTGTTTAACCCACAATCTCACCTTCTCATAAATTTATCTCTTATTGGCAATGGTGCCATCGTGAGAATAAAGAATTCAAAAAACAACTTAGTTTAATTGTACCTGTAATAAAACAAAATCAACTCGGATGGTGAGCCAAATAAATTTTGGTGAAAAAGGAGAAGGAAAAAATGTTACGAGTTATGACTAACTGTCCACCAACGTAAAAACAACTTCTACATGCAGTCAGCGAGGGCGACAAAATGGCACAAAGCTGGCAAGGAGTACTGAGACATTCGGCGACCTGGCACCTAGCTCCAACACAGTTAGGTGTCTGGTCGCCGAATGTCTCAGTACTCCTTGCCAGTTTGGTGCCATTTTTTCGCACTCGCTGACTGTATAAGGTCTGGTTACGTTGGTGGACAGTCAGTCATAACTCATAACATGTTGTCCTTCTCCTTTTTCACCGTAATAACAAAAAGTAAATTACCTTGTCCGTTGCCGAAGGGAACTCACGACGGCCCCCAACACCCGGTAAACCCTAGCGGCAGTACATGTACTCTGTATGAAATCAAGAGGTTGCATGCCCCTAGTCACACAAGCGTGTCATCGTAAGCCAAACACTTAACACCAACCAGCACTCTTACCCATTCTACTTCCCCATAGCTACATGTAGATCTAGCTTCGCTTCACATTTCTGCATCATTTTCCTGGTGCGTGCTTGTGGCATTGAAGCCGAGACCTTTGGTCGGTGGAGCCCCTGGTACCTCACCATCACTGCTGCCCAGTGCAGTCCCATGCACAGAGACTCCAGTTTTTGTACGGACACAGCAGGTATTCACAAACGTCGAGTGCATATATGGCGCTGAAATGGGATCCTCACGATGACATGCGCAACCTTGTCCTAATGCCGAGTTAGATTGAACGTCACTAGTACCAAGAGTACACAGGGTTGTGTACCCTTGCTAGTATTAATCCGTCATCCCTCAGGATTATGGACTCTATATACAGGTATTTGGCGTTCCCCTGGCCTGAATGGGCACACTTAATTAACTTACTTGCACACTTGCACACGGACGCACATGCTTCAGGTCCAGATTGCACGGGACAAGAACATGAAGGGCTTTCACACACAATGCACGCCACACAAACACAACGCACGCCACACGGAGTCCGCTCATGCCCCTTCCTATTGTTGTCTCGGTTAGTCCCGTCAAATAAAATGGAGAGGTCAAAAAAGCAAGACCGCTAACTCTTAACTTTCTCTACTGATATTGGTCAATACATGGACATGTATACCGTCTGGATTTGGGCCATAAAAATAATTCTTCTTCTTCTTCTTCTTCGGTATCAAAACAAAGATGCTAGAAATAGAGACAATTGAAAGGACGATAAATATCTGATTGTTGCTCAACCGAAACAGTAGAAAGGTGCCGGAAGTAAAACAAATAAAATAAATACTAGAGGCCTCTATGGGAGCTAAGCTTCAAATAGTTTGTGTCCAATCCATTTGCTGATTACTAGTATAAAGTCTTGGCAAGGACTTGAAAATAATAGTCAGTGGCCTCTGTGCTTCAGGCGTAGCTAATTTATTATAACCTCCATCAATCAAACCTATGACGTTGCTTAATTTTGTGATCGGGGAGTAGCTAAATACCGGCATTTTACTACTCTCTGGCTCGCACAACATGCGATTCACGTCCCCCGCGTAATAAAATGATAGGCAAAACAGCACGCTAAAAGTCAGAGCACGACAACACTGTAGAGCTGATCCAGGTAAGCAGTGAATCTAGGTCCGGGACATTACTTATTCAGCAATGGCACTAGCATGGACTTGGACCGTATACTGATATACGATTTGCTTGATCGTTTCCCTTCGCCCGGAAGTAAGGTTGAGGCATCTTGGCTTAGTTAAATTCACTCTTGTCGATTTGGTTGCGGCGAACCTTCGTATCATATCCATTGTCAGAGGTCTGGCCCAGAGGACCTCAGGTCTTTCTGTGACTACGTCTACCTGTTCACCTGCTCGCCTCAAAACTATGGTAAGATCGAGTTTTGTGTGTGTGTGTGCGCGCGTGTGTGTTTGTGTGCGTGTGTGCGTGTGTGTGTGTGTGTGTGTGTGTGCGTGACTGTGTGTGACTGTGTGAGAGAGACACTATCAGGGTACAGAGGATAGCGGTTCGTTCTCGTAACTATCAAATTCAGATTAGCGGTGGGTTTGGCTGACTGAATTCCAGATAGAAAAGGAGTTACAAGCACATGTACACCTAGAATTTGACAGATAATGTAGGCAGAAAGATTCGCAGCATTAGGTGCTTTTCTGGTATGCTACATGCGTGTTTGGTATGTGGATAAAGAAGTTGAGCAGAGTTTCAAAGATAAACCTGTGGCTATGTGCACCTGCTGTCGGCCCGCTGCTTGCATATCAGTTTTAGTGACCGTCCCGTCCCGTTCAGATGTTTTCTCTTCATTAGTCCTGCACGTCTAGAGTTGGTTAGTGATTTTTAAAGCAAGCGAGAGGCAACACATGCACAAAACGAGCGTGTCTCGATATTCCCCATTTTGTGGCACAAACGTACAGAACACGCTGTTGTTTCACGCACTTAGCGCATGGTCAGCGTTTCACCCTCCGTCTCGTTTCGCATTTCTTTTTGTTTTGTTAGACGGAGAAATCAGCAGTGAGTGGCAACAAGCCCCTTCGTGGTGTGTACAGATGCTCCATCTGCTCTGTGGACACGGACAGGCTGGCCATGCACCTCAAGCGGAAACATGCGGACCTGGATGCAGATCAACGAGCTGAATGCAGGAAAAGGGCGAGAGAAGAACGACCAAGGACACTGCAGCGAAGTCTGAGTCTTCTGGATGATGCACCTGGTGAAGAAATATCTAGCCATTCTGAAGTGGCCGCCAAGAGGGCACTTGTTGTTCAAGAATGGGGTTCGAAGGAGAAGGAAAGAGCTACCACTGGCCAGAATCCCTTCTCCACTACTCCTCTCCCCGGCAGAGTGATGCGTTCAAGGACGGTTACAAGCCATTCAGATTTTCAACCTGACATCCACCATGACGTCACCACAGGTCCTCTGTGCTCCTTCAACAAATGGCTCACATCTATTGGAGGAAAGATGCTGAGCAAGGCCACAGCTGACGCGTACACGATGTGTGCGGCAAAGCTTCTGATGTACCTGAATCCCAAGGATGTGGATTTCAAGGAATTCCTTAATACGAACAAGGTGGGAGAGTACCTTGATAAGATGCGAAGTGTCAAGGGAACAGGTCCTGCAGGAATGAAGGGGAGGCTGGATGCAGCTAAAGCGGCCCTCGACTATCTGGACAGCATGGACGACGCAGATGACATCATTGCCTTCTCATTCCGTGTGAAGAAGGCCAAGGAAAGGTACGCAACCATGTACAAGAGATTCTCCAAAGAGCTGAGCAAGCAGAGGAGTCTGCAAGTGGAGGAGGAACATAATGTAACCGCCGGCACATCAGACATAGAGGCAATTCTCACGGACGCAGCAGCATTCGAGAGGGCAAACAGAATAACAGAGATAGCAGGGACAGACCCGTCGGCTTTGAAGGCGATGGATATAGCATTTATCATGAGACTCCTCCTGACAAGTCTGACGTTGGACAATGCACAGCGTCCTGGCCCTGCGTGCAACATGACACTCCGCGAGTTCACAGAGTCAGAAGGCAAAAGGAGTGAGTTCGCTGAAGAGCGCAGGGTGATCAGTGTTAGGGAACACAAGACTGGACGCATCGGGCCAGCGTACCTTGTTGTCAGGTCTAACCTGGAGAAAGCTATCAAGTCCTGGAACGAGCACATTCGACCAGAGCTCCTGAAGCGAACGAAGACTGAATGTGATCTGTTTCTGCTGACTGGTGCTGGTAAGAGATTGGACAGTAACAAGGCGGCCGACCAAATGAGAGCTTTCGGAAGGTCAATTGGCCGGCATGTACCCACAGCAACAATGTCAAGGAAAATCTCGTCTACTGCTGTTGCTGACAACCTGGAGGAGGAGGAAGCGCATAAGGTGAACAGGTTCATGTCACACACTCCAAGCGCTGCTGCCAAATATTACCAGAATATGGGCCGGAAACGTTCTGTGGAGGGCAACTACAATCTGCTTCAGAAAGCCAGGAGCGCGAAGGAGTAACGTTATTGCCCCCCAAAATAGCCATTAGTTTGTGTCTCGTGTCCGTACTATCTTTGCCAACACCCGCTTCGAACGTGCTGGTTTCATTCCTTCCAGAGTTTCTATAACATAGTAAAGAATGGTATGGATGATTTCTGCAGTATGCATTTGTTATAACCCTTCCTCTTCTCAATCTATATGTTATAATTTTGCAAATATATTCCCAGTAAGCCATGAACGGAGACCCCCTCGACCAAGGCCTCGGCCTTTGGGGAATCCATAAATAAAATTTAAAAAAAATTGCCCTGATGTTATAACTATACAATTGCCCTGAGACAGCTTCCTGTCTGTAATTGTTTTTCACTGTTTACCATTATTATTTGCCATGGCAACCGCCGTAACCCGTAACTGACAGGGCAGGATTGGGCATTAAAAAAAGTCCTCCCGATGGTACTAGCAAGTACTAGTACTTTCGTTAGCAGTTAGTATTTTGTCTTTTCCCTATATATTCTCTTTACCAGGCGTGGGCCATCCCCTGGAATATCAAAATGGATGCCTTATTATTATTATTTTTAGAATTTCTGTTTCAATGACTGTCCATTGCACGTCTTAAAAAAGTACTTAGTTTTAAGAGTGTCTTATTAGGCGGGTTACAGAACTGTCGTTCGCTGGCTTACTTGTAGTTTTGATAACGCTTCGCTCTTCATTGAGATATCTACCTCCTTCCCTGGAACATAATAACATATTCGCTGCCTTGTCATTGAGCATTGGCGCTCGTCTGGATTAGCGAATTCAAATACAGTATACAAACAATGGATATTGTATGCCTTATTATTATTTAAACTCGGATACTGAGCCAGAAATAAAATGTGAAAAAGAGAAGAAACACATGAGAACCAGTTATGGATAGTTGCCGCATAACTCGTTCTCATGTGTTTCTTCCCTTTTTTTTTTACATATTACAAGTATTATTAAGAAATGGTGCAGGAAAAAATATGGATTCAAACAAGTTTTCGTACAACACTCATCAGGAATCGTCGTTGTACTAAAGGACACTGAAACAAAAATTGAACTACATGTATGATGAGTGTTGTACGAAAACTTGTTTGAATCCATATTTTTCCCCTACACCATTTCTTCATATTTTCATCGTTTTATTGCACATCGTCTCCACCGTTTTTTACATTGCATGAACAAGTATTATTATTATTATTATTATTATTGCGTCCCACCCGCCTGTGTGGATTCACAGGAAGTGTGAGTTACGAAGTCTGAAGAAAACGTTGAACGGTCTCTGCTTGGATGACGACTACACCATAGCTCAGCGGTTAGAGCATCGCTGGCTACAAGCGAGGGTCCCTGGTTCGAGTCCTGGTGATGACGGTCAATTTTTTCTTCAGACTTTTCCCATTTGTCTCTTTCCCTCAAAATCAGTCAATATTTTATGACTTGGGGCTCCCCGCGTGCTAGTTTGTACGTGAAGTGTGTGGGTTACAGTGAGGGCTGCGTCCCACCCGCCTGTGTGGATTCACAGGAAGTGTGAGTTACGAAGTCTGAAGAAAACGTTGAACGGTCTCTGCTTGGATGACGACTACACCATAGCTCAGCGGTTAGAGCATCGCTGGCTACAAGCGAGGGTCCCTGGTTCGAGTCCTGGTGATGACGGTCAATTTTTTCTTCAGACTTTTCCCATTTGTCTCTTTCCCTCAAAATCAGTCAATATTATTATTATTATTAATATTATTAAAAAATTGGTTGTGAGCAACACTGGCTCACACTCAAATCACTCACTGCTTTTCACCAGAAAAACATTTTATTCCCGTACCAAAGCATATTGCCTCTGTGTATTCCCGTAGCTATGCAGAAGACGTTACTTCAGTAACGTCTGGCGCTAGCCAGGTCCACACAGCTTTAATTCCCGTAGCTATGCAGAAGACGTTACTTCAGTAACGATTGGCGCTACCCAGGGTCCACACAGCTTTAATTCCCGTAGCTATGCAGAAGACGTTACTTCAGTAACGTCTGGCGCTAGCCAGGGTCCACACAGCTTTAATTTGGTGTTTGTTTGTTTGTTTGTTTGTTTGTTTGTTTGTTTGTGTCACGCCTGGCGCTATTCCGTATCTATCCCGTACCGTATCGCACAGCTGGCCATTTGCTGGCTCCCGTATCTGTCCCGTACCGTACCGTACCATCAAACACAGCTGGCTACAAACAGCTGGCCACAATATTGTGTACATGTATACGACTCCCTGTGTGTTGCAACTGTGCTTGAAGGGGACGGTTGCACTTTTTGTAGCTCTGTTTTATCTGAGTTTTCAGTCGTTCCTCTTACTAGTCCTGCCAAGGGGGTGGCTCTGAGTCCACCAGAGTTGCCCCTGGCGTATTTCTGAATTTGCTGGGGCGAGGGTTCCGCGACGCGGTCGCCAAGGCAGTGTCTTTTCAGTCACGACCGTTGTCGTCCTCGTCTCTCCATTCGCGCTGGTGTAGCTGACCCCCGAATGGTTTCAAACTGCGAAGCTCGGAGGAGTACAGTGGTGGCAGAGGCATGAGCTGTGAGTGGAGACGGTTGCTGGAGATGGATGGTGATGCAGGGAGAAGAGGTACGCTGCCTGATGCCGCGTGGGAAATTGTTTGAACCTGCAATTTCAGTTCGAGCGCGGTGGACTTCTAGACGATGTGTCCTCATGGCTGTTTTTCAACGCTTGGCCTATCGCTGATATCCCTGCGTGGGATGTTCTTCCAGTGGAGTCCAGGTGGGACTTCGGGTGCCCACACTCCATCACCTGGTTGATTGTTTCGGAACAGGAAACATAATTATTGTTTCCTATTTTGTGCGCATCTCTTGTCATCTCTCTTTTTTATATGTCGCACACCAGATGTACTACTATCGCCGTCTTTCTCTTGCTTTCTCTCCCTGCTTGCTGTTCTTTTGTTTCTGTTGCCACTGTCCCTCATCATACCCATGCTTGGGTGGTGGGCGGCGTGACCCGTTAGGGTAGCTGCCAATAAAGTACGACTCCCTGATGTATAGAGAGACTTTCTGGAAAGAAATAGGGAGACGAGGAGGAAATGAAATTAGAATGGATGTTAGTTGCCGAATTGGTGATAGGATGCGTCAGCAAAAACATACTTTGGAAGAGAGATCCCGTCGTCTCCAAAATAGGCGTGAACGGGCGAGTCAGCGCCGGTCACAGGAAACGTCGGCAGAGTGATCCCGTCGACTCCAGAACGCGCGTGCTCGGCCGAGTCAGCGCCTTCCTAGGAAACATTTCCATCAGTTCCAACAACATGCACGATGAGCTAAGTAACAAAGCATAGCGTAGGGCCCTAAGCTTCCAAGCTCTCTCGTTTGGTGTTTGTTTGTTTGTTTGTTTGTGTCACGCCTGACGCTATCCCGTATCTGTCCCGTACCGCACCATCAAACACAGCTGGCCATTTGCTGGCTCCCGTATCGGTCCCGTACCGTACCGTACCATCAAACACAGCTGGCCACAAACAGCGGGCCACAATATTGGTCGTATTATGTACATGAATACGACTCCCTGTTGTTGTTGTTGTTGTTGTTGTTGTTGTTGTTGAAATTTTATTTTGTATCGCAGACCAAACGGGCAATGGTGCCCAATATTATGATGGCGATAAAGTAACGGCCGAGAGCCAAGGATACAACAAGCAAGCCTCCACGAAAGAGAGAAAAACACAGAAAACACAGACTGCAAATACTCAAAAAGAAAAAGAGAAAGGGAAAAAAAGAAAAAGAAAGAAGAAGAAAGCACAGTTGAGTCACTGTGTGTTGGAACTGTGCTTGCTGGGAACGGTTGCACTTTTTGTAGCTCCGGTTTATCTGAGTTTTCAGTCGTTCCTCTTACATGTACTAGTCTTGCCAAGGGGGTGGCTCTAGGTCCACCAGAGTCGCCCCTGGCGTGTTTCTGAATTTGCTGGGGCGAGGGTTCCGCGACGCGGTCGCCAAGGCAGTGTCTTTTCAGTCACGACCGTTGTCGTCCTCGTCTCTCCATTCGCGGTGGTGTAGCGGACCCCCGAATGGTTTCAAACTGCGAAGCTCGGAGGAGTACAGTGGTGGCAGAGGCATGAGCTGTGAGTGGAGACGGTTGCTGGAGATGGATGGTGATGCAGGGAGAAGAGTTACGCTGCCTGACGACGCGTGGGAAATTGTTTGAACCTGCAATTGCAGTTCGAGCGCGGTGGACTCCTAGACGATGTGTCCTCATGGCTGTTCTTCAACGCTTGGCCTATCGCTGATATCCCTGCGTGGGATGTTCTTCCAGTGGAGTCCAGGTGGGACTTCGGGTGCCCACACTCCATCACATGGTTGATTGTTTCGAAACTGCAAAAATAATTATTGTTTCCTTTTTTGTGCGCATCTCTTGTCATCTCTCTTTTCTATACGTCGCACACCAGATGTACTACTATCGCTGTCTTTCTCTTGCTATCTCTCTCTGCTTGCTGTTTTTTTTCTCTGTTGCCACTGTCCCTCATCATACCCATGCTTGGGTGAAGCGCGGCGTGACCCGTTAGGGTAGCTGTCAATACAGTACGACTCCCTGATGTATAGGGAGACTTTCTGGAAAGAAATAGGAAGACGAGGATGAAGTGATTATTAGAATGGATGTTAGTTGCCGAATAGGTGATAGGATGCGTCAGCAAAAACATACTTTGCAAGAGAGATCCCGTCGTCCCCAAAATAGGCGGGAACGGGCAAGTCAGCGCCGGTCACAGGAAACGTCGGGAGAGAGATCCCGTCGACTCCAGAACGCCCGTGATCGGCAGAGTCAGCGTCGTCCCAGGAATCATTTCCATCAGTTCCCACAACATGCACGATGAGCTAAGCAACAAAGCATAGCGTAGGTCCCTGAGCTTCCAAGCTCTCTCGTTTGGTATTTGTTTGTGTGTTTGTTTGTTTGTTTGTGTCATGCCTGGCGCTATCCGTACCTGACGGCAAAAAAGCATAGGATGTTATACATTTTTCACTTCTCCTATTTTTTTTCAGGCATATCCTGGGATTCGAATCCGCACTATCGCCCTACATGCATTTCCCCATACACTTCGCATTCATACCCATTCTTCCAAGTTGCTTCACGTTATTATCTTGCGCTTGAAAGCCCTATTTGAATATTGCGGGCAGCTGTATGTGGCTAGCTGTGTTTGATGGCACGGTACGGTACGGGAGACGGTGTCGTATTACCCTCGATCGTACCTGTCCCGTACCTATCCCCTACCGTACCGTGCCATCAAAGACGGCTGGCCACAATGCATATTCAAATAGGGCTTTCAAATGCAAGATCACAATGTGAAACAACTTGGAAGAATTAGTATGTATGCGAAGTGTATCGGGGGATGCATGCAGGGCGCGTGATAGTGCGGGTTCGAATCCCAGGTTGTCTTAAAAAAGGATTTTTTTTAAAGAATTTATAACATCCCTATGCTTTTTTTGTCTAGGTCAGGTCTCAAGGCAAAAAAGCATAACATAGGGCCCTGAGCTTCCAAGCTCTCTCGTTTCAATGTTTCGGGTCATGAAATAACCATCGTCAGGAATGAAGTGGGCACACCGGTTAGGATGGGTTAATAAATGAGGAGCTCTGCGAACTGCTAACAAATCACACCTGCGTGCACTATGACGAGAGAGAGAACAAAAGGCCAAAACATCACCAAAAATACCTGGTATAGAAATAGC